GGAGGGCAGTGGAAGCTTGTTTTAAACTAAAAATAGCTGTTACAGAGAGCTCTACAGCAAACTGATGCAGAGAGCAAGTGCAGTAGTCTCAGAACAGAAGGGATTTGCCTCTGTTAAAGGGTTGTGGTGAACGATAATGCCATGTTCCTTGTTGAGTCTCTGAAAAATGATTGCTGGATGAAATCATCTGCTGATGTCAAAACAGATTTGATTTTTAAGAAAAAAAACAACCACCACCCCAAATCACTCATCAGTTTAAAGAGTGGTGGGCTCAGATTTCAAAGCTCTGTCCTATAAAATGTATGTATGGCTCTGTATTTGTCTGTGTATCTGTGTGCATATGTGTGTAGGTGTATATTTATGTACAAATACATTTGTGTACATCTGTCTGTGTATATACGTGTGTACACATATATAGATGCATTTCTATGTACAACTGTGCATGCATTTGAATTGAGAGGTGTATATATGGACACACAGAGGGAAAGAAAGTTGGAAGTATAGGTAACAGATACCAAAGTGTTGGAACTTTCATTAACTTCTAATGATATTAACATCAGTTTAATTTAAAACTTGAAATTGTAGATAGAAGCTCAAAAAGACATTTTGTCCTCTTAACATTAAGCTGTTTTTCAAAGGTGTTGCTTAGTTGAGTCCCTGCACACTCCTGAAAAAGTGTGCTCCTGTAATGTGTTAGTTGGGAAGCATTTCTATAATCATGTCTTTGCTGCAACTTAAGATTCTGAAGATATGACCATACAATTGCTAGCAACTGAATTTGATCTGTTTTAAGTTTTTGCTCTCTCATCTGTGATGTGGTGTGTATACTCTTAATTTTTCATCAGTGTGAAGTGAAATGTTTTCATTTAGTTCACAACTTAGTATTGCATATTATTTTTGTAGTATATCATTTACTGTATTAAGCCATCTTCAGTGGCTTTTTTTAAAAAAACAATCCTCTGTCTTTCATTGCAGTGGTTTGTACGCCACTTAGAGTGAGTTATCTTGATTTCAAAACTTTTTAACGTGTTTTGACTTAATCTCTTGTGAGTTCTCTGACAGTATGCATATATAAGGCTGATGTAATCTTACAGATTTTTGTATAATAGTGAACACGTAAGGTGAGATGCTGCTGTACTCAGGGAGCAAATCTTTCTGCAGTATTCTTGCGTTCCTCTCAGCCATTAGTTGTCTGCTGTATTGGGAAACTCATTATGATTGCAGTTAACTTGGCGCTAGAACATCACTAATTGACCAATGTAATGTACAAAACTAATTTTTCACAGCTCAGGGACATGAATCATTACTTTATCTTGTCACTAAAGCATTTACTTGACTTGCTTAATTTTAAAATTATCATTATAAAATGAAGATGAATTAACAGTGCATGTTCCAAGCTAGAATAAATTAGTCTCTAATAGGTAGTTCTTGGGGTTTAGTTTTTCCTATTGCACTATATGGAAGATGTGGAAAACCTTGAAATTAGGTTCTACTCTCAAATGATCTATTTTCCAATTTATTGAAATTAATGGATCTAACATGAAATAGTTTATTTTTATATTCAAAGCTATAAGTCATTCTGGTTTTAAAAACCTTTCCCCTTCCTTATTACTATTTTTAAGGATTTGGTGAAAATTCACAGGAATCTAACACAGGACATCAATGATTCCATTGTTAACAAAAATGATCAGAACCTGTATCAAATTTTTATTAACTACAAGGAAAGGTAAGATTTATGCACGCTTACTAATTGTGATGTGCTCAATTCTCTCAAGTATTTTACCATATTTTTGTTTGAATGTTTCTGAAAAAGAATTGAATTTGATGTCAATATACTACTTAAGCTAGAATTTGGTGTTTTGAGCTTGAAAGTCAAAATGTAACCTATTGCTTTAGGACCCTCTTCCTACTCTGAGTTTTGGCAGTATTGTTACATAGATAAGTAACATTTATATTTTGAACAAAACTTAAATAGCTTATTTTGCACAGCATTTTTTCATGGAACTAGTCCCAGATTGCATGTACCTACATTGTTTAACAGATGAAATGTAACAAAAGGGGAAAAAATAAAGCAAGGATATATATTAAGGCTATTCTAGGTTAAAGAAAGCAGAAGTCATAACTTGAAAGAAGAGAAAGCAAGTGCAAAAGAGGAGAGAGAAGAGACTAGGGTCTTAGCCTATCCTGCAGTCAAAGGTGTGACAGTGAAGCAAACACTCTCTACCCTCAAACTGTGGGAAACTGCCAAGCCATTAACAGGATAGCTGTGGCAGCATGCCATGCCCTGTAGGCTAATTGCCATTTTTTTTTTACCCACCTTTTCAGATTGTTTTCTCTGCCAGCACTGAACAGCTGTTGGACTGTATAAATGAACCTATATGCCTGTGGTACTCTACTGAAAAACACTTGTACTGTGGGCTACAGTGCTGACCTACCTTGAAGTAACCCTTGGGTTGTGGTTAAAAATGAGTTCCTTCTTGGACCGGAGTGGGAAGACCTGTGGGAGCTAATTGGACTTGCTTGAGGGTGTTGGGGAAGGGGTATTGTTGTAGTAATAACAGGCTTGTGAGAAATTGGGCAGCAGCATCCAGAAAACATTAGAGAAGAGAGTTGTTTTCTGAGGGAGGAGGGTGTCCCAGGCTGCCCATAAACAGTGTTGCCTTTGGAGACCTTCTGTCTCAGCTTTTATGTTGGAGCAGAACATAGTTATTTCCCAGACTGTTAGACTTTCTGCTGCTGTAGGAGGGAATTAGGGAATGAGAAGTTGTTCTGGAAAATGCTTATCTTTCAAAAGATAGTTCTGAGATGTGTGCTAAAAGGGGAACAAAGGACACTGAGAAGAAACCTCAAGTTTATATTATACAAATAAAGGAGACAGATGGAGGTAGACTCCGCATCATAACCGCGTAGTGATTAAAAGTAGTCAGAAGTGGTAAGTTTTAAATCAGTATTGTCACTTTAATTGTGAAAAAAGAATTTAAGAAATAAAAAAGAATGATGAAGATTAGGCGAGAGAAAAGGCAATTTAGGAGGCTCCAAAGGGGAAAGCTCATGGGAACCCCCCAAAAAGGGATTTGAAGCATACGGAAGGAATCACCTCAACAAATATATTAAAGTGAAAGGAAACAGCACCTCTTTTCAATGGGACTAGCAGAAAGAAGCGCTCCAGACAGGGGCAAGAGGCTCCTGTCAAAACCACGCTCCTTCAAGAATCATTGCTGCCCTTGACAGCTATTGAAAATGTCTTGAGTTTGCATACACTATTATCTTCATCTGAGTATTCACAAGAGTATAACCTGGTAGGAACTACTGGAGATGGATCAGTTTGGATAACCTACAAGTTCTTTAAAGCTTAGCTGTAATTAATCCTGTTAAGCCTGTGTTAAAAAATTTATTCTTTACAACCTTGGAAACCTACAGTGCTGTAAATCCTACAGGCTGTTGTTCTGTTAAATAGCGGTTACGCTGCTTTTAATGAGTTCTGTATTTATCAGAACATATACATGTGAAGATTAAAGGAAATTGCAATCATTTTACAACACCTTGAAGGTAGCTCAAAATTGTATTCCCCTGACTATTCTTCCTTGTATTCATACTGCCCATTGAATGAAGTCTGTGACTAGTCCTATCCTCGCTTATTTAGGCACTGCTGCTTTTGAAAGGAGGATTGTATTTGTGAAAAATGATCAAGGATTGTTCTTAAATAAACAAATGTTCCTTTAATTGTTTATCTCTTTGATTTAGATTGGTTATTTATGGACAGTACTGCAGTCAAGTGGAGATAGCAATATCATGCTTAGACAACATCTCTAAGACAAAAGAAGATGTTAAATTGAAGTTAGAGGTATCAGTATTTTTATAACATACATAGGTACATATATATATTTTTTTAAAGAAAACATGTTACTATGAATATGCCCTGCTTTCATCCGGGTTGAAAACTTAACGATGAACAACTGTCTGGACTGATACATGAATGTTTTTCTCTTCCTTTTCATTCTTTTGGAGCCTCTGATCGAATGAATGTGAGCTGTCCCTGTACACATCCTGGCACTGAAATGAGTGGATTTTTGCCATTGACATCAGTAAGGTTAGGGTTTTTTTGGGAAGCAATCATCAGTGATACCTTTCTGTTTATCTTGACATCTCAGCTGACAACACAGAACTGCAGAATTACTCAAGTTGAGAGGGTCCTCTAGGCTGAACAAGCCCTGGTCTCACAGCCTCACAGGGCTTGCTGTCTGCCACAAGCCACGACCCTGGAGTCCTTCCCAGCAGAGCTGCTTCTGAGCTGGTCAGCCCTCAGGGTTAGTGTCCCTGATTAGTGCATACCAGGTGAAAGACTTTGCCTTCGTCCTTGTTGTCTTCATGAGGTTCCTATTGGACATGCCCTGAAGAGTGTCACCTGCACCTTCAATCTGATGTTGTCTGCAGACTTCCTGGGAGTGTCCTCTGTCTTTTCCTGCAGATCATTAGTAAAGATATTAAATGGAGGAGGGGTCCCTGGACAGACCCCTGAGAAGCTCTACTTGAAACTATCCGTCAGGTAGTGTAGAAAGCATTAGTCACTGCTCTTTTTGAGCCTCATGATCTAGCCAGTTTTTCATACACCCTGTAGTTCATTCATCTGGAGCATGACATCCCACCTTGGGTATCAGAATACTGTGGGAGATGATGCTGATGAAAGCCTTGCAAAAATCAAGGTAGACTCTTATCATCTGTTCATAGATCTAGACATTTCGTTGTGGAAACCAGTCAAAGTAGGTCAAGCGTTGATTTACCTGTGTTAAATCCATGCCAGATATTTGCAGTCACGTTCTTCATGTGCCTAGAAATTGCTTCTAAGGGGACTTGCTCCATAATTTTTACAGGGTCTGAAGTGAGGCTGACTGGCCTGTAGTTTCCAAGGATATCTTTTGCTTTTTTTTGAAGATAGATGTAATATTTGCTGCCTTCACTGTGCTTATAGACAGTGTCGTCTTTTTTTAGAACCACTTCTGTTGTCTGTGATGTTTATTCTACTCTCTTCTCATGCTGTTAAAGTATCTTAAGAACAAGTGTCCAGACTCGGTCTTATTTTGCTTAGCTATTATTGTCATATCAGCTGTTTTCCTTCATTTTGTTGATATTCTTTATCTCAAGCTTAATATAATTGCTTGGCCCATATATTGCTGAATTTTCATTTTTATAGCTGGAATATTTTTACTTTCTAACTCTCTGATCTTATTTTTTCTTCTGCTTTGAACTAGGAATGTTCCAAGAGGGCCAATAATGGGAAATTTACATTGCGGGATCTTTTAGTGGTTCCAATGCAAAGAGTGCTAAAATATCATCTACTGCTCCAGGTATTTTATTTTTGAAATTTAAGGGGGCTGAGAGCAAAACTGTGATTGTTTGTCATCAGTGGGTTGCAAGAATATGAGCTGAAAGTCTTTATCAAAGGAAGGTGGTTGACATTTCCATGGATTTGAGGCTGATTTGTTAGGAAATAAAATCCAGTCAAGTGCGAGTTTTCTCACAGAGATCATTCCTCAGAGCTGAAGCATATCTGGAGAGAAAAGAATAAAACACCATTGTTTCCTCAGTATCTGAACCCTTCATTCTTGGTACGTTAAAAGTGGTTAGTAGTACTAAACTGTAATCATGGTACTTTGAAATGTGAACCATTACCCTCCAAAAGAGGAAGCTGAGCCATACTTACAGAATACTTTTAAGATGCTTCTTTCTTATCATAAATTACAATAAAGCCATATTTATCTTGAAATGCTTGCTGGAATCCACAAAGGGTTAGCTTTTGCAGTTAGTCCTGTAATAAGGGTAAAGAGTCTTATAAATTTAATTTGATAGCTGTGCCAGGAGATTCATTAGTTCAGCTGCAAAGAAATATATTACTATATTAGACTGTCAACCCTGCTGATACTTGTAAAATGTTGTTTTAAAAAAATATCTACTACTTGTATGTGAAGTATTGTTTTGACTCTGCAGAGCAGCATATGTTCTATAATATTAATTTTTAAAAATATTTCTATAAATGAGCCATCAATATTTTGATCAATGGAAAATTAGAAAAAACCAAAATGAATGGTACAAGTACTTGTTAAAAAACTTAGGACATCCGAGTCTTGTTTTTATAATCAACCTGTATATTACGAAAAGATGGTATACAATATTTCACCATGCTCTAATGTGTGACACTATAGTATACATTGTACAAGAATGAAGTATTTTATAGACTTCGAAAGAAAAAAGTCCGGTAAGTTGTTAGAATTGTAATGTGAAGTATAAATACTTATTCCTTCATTTCCTAGAATTTTAGCAAGTTATTATGTTACCTGAAATGTATAATTCTTTTCTCAAATTATAAAGGAGGAGTAACGTATTTCCCCAAGAGGTTACTTTTTCAATTCATAGAAGCCAAAAAGCCCCTTTATTTTCCATATTGGAAGTGGCTAAAAAACCCTACTTAATCATTTACATTTGATTTAAGTATGTCTTCTGAGTCAGCTTTATCTTAGACGTAGTGAGACAGTGACTTCTTCGAAGCAGTTGCACAGTTTAGCTGAGGTTTTATTGCCAGCATACATCCCTCTCTGCAGACAAGTGCATGCTCTGGAATGCAGTGATACACCGTGTAGTACTGTGCAAACAAACTCAAGTGTTTAGCTGTGCTTTTGGCATGCACATACAGTAATGATCTGATTGGTAAGTTTTAAGTGCCAGGCAGACCAAACTGCCTCCTAAGGATGGTTCATTATCAGCTGAAGTCAGTGTTTGGGCTATACAGCAATCATTCTTAAATACTTGCCAATTACCTGTTTGCAGTAGTCCCCACTTCATTATAGGTGCTCACTATGGGTATGAAGATGTGAATTCTTGGGTTTTGTTTTCTGTTATTGGCTTTTTTCTTTTTTTTTTGGGGGGGGGGGGGTGGATGTGGGGTGAGGATGAGCAATGACAACTTAAACTTATAAACTGACAGCAATGTTTGAAAAGTTTTAATTGCTCTGCCCCCAGGAGCTGGTAAAGCACACTACTGATCCTATGGAAAAGGCAAACCTAAAACTGGCACTTGATGCAATGAAGGTAAGGCAATAACGTATTTGTCTTTGTTGGTGTCTAAAATGGTAGCTCAGAACTACATTTCTTGGAGGAGATAATGTGCTTCACAGCAGGTCAAATATGTTTTCACAGGTCACTGTGAGCTTTGTGAGTATGAAGGATTTGCTCAAGTCTGGGAAACAAGTTCAGTAGTTTTCTAAAGTGGAGGGTTTATGAAATGAAACTTCCTTATTTCATTTTTCTTCTACATCATTTTGCTGTCATATAATGAGATGAAAAACAAGTGTTTCAATAATGTTGGTCTCACTTCCAAATTCTAGAAATATTTCTACCACTGTAAGTCAGTCAATTCGAATCAAGGTCAGTAATTTCTCAGTGAGTGAAGACAGTTATCTTTCTTTACAAGACTCTTTTCTTCTGTCATCATGTGATCTCCATGGCTTTCCGTTTGCAACCAGTAGTGTCTTTCTGGAGATAGAGTATCTGTCACTAAACATTCACCTGCAAGTGGTACCAACTAATGCTTTATAGAATAGCTTTACTGCCTTTTGTATACAGCAGTCTATTATGTGCTCCTCTGCATAGCTTCAGACATGAAGCACAGTTCTGCTTCATTGCAGAATTGTGACATTCATGTGCTAGAACGGTGAAATTTTTCCTATCCTTTGTGGGGAAAGGGGGAAAGAAACCAACACTGCCTAGGTCACATTACTTTCTGTTGTAATCTGTATGATCCACAGAAGATGCTGTATTCAGACTAAGTTTTGGGTCACACAGCTGTCTCGTATTGTGTGACTGTCTGCCTTGAATGCCTGGAATACAGACCAACTTGCAAATGAGATTTTTGACTCTGCTTTTTTGTCATCAGTTTTTAGGCAGTGAATGCAGAGAGAGCCACCATGATAATCTCCTGTAGAGAGATGTCTAAAATGGAATGGCGCAGGGTTGCTTCTGTCTAGTGGCAAGCCATGCATCCTGGCTGCTGCTAATTGTCTAGGAAAATAACCCTGGGCTTTATTCTCCCTCGCTCCCCTTTTTCTTTTCTGTTTGCTGACTTGCTTCATTGTTTTTTGTGTCTGTTGGACTGGAAATAGAAGACCAATTAAGAAATCACTTGCCAGAGCAGCCATGGCAGTTATGTACTGCCTGGCAGGACAGAATGAGCCAATTAAAAACCCCTCAAAACCATCTCCCTCCCCAACCCACAAAAACTCCAGGTGTGGGCATCTCTCCTTAAGATTGCAGTATTGTTTGCCTCTTGATTTACTGTGTCTTCTTACAATAGTTCCTGCTGGTGTAGTAGAAGTAAGTGTGTAGCATCGATATGTTACATCTAAAAATCCTGGTGTGTCTACTTGAAAATAAAATGTCTTTGGAAAAACTGCCAAGAAAGTGGTACTGATTCCAAGAAAGAAAATTCTAGGAAGGATTATGTTGTCAGATTTCTTTTAGCAGCAAGAGAAGAGGTTATTTAATTTCTACACTAACTCTTTTAAGACTGATGTGAATGTGTCCTGCACAGATTCATTTGGGTAGCTAGCATAATGGTTGCAGCTATTTTTAGATTCTGTTTAAAAACATCTTAGGAATAAGATGTATCTTTCTCCCACCCTCCAAATTTGTGACCGTATTGAAGAGATACAGTAAAAGCAAGTTGTGAAGATCAGTTCTTTTCCAACTGCTGCTCTGAGCATCTGTGACCTTACCAATTACTGCTCCTGCTCACTGCTCATCCCTAGCCATAAACAGAGGAGCCCCAGCAAACTGTCACTGTTACTCAAGCAGCATGTTCAGAGCATTTTAAAGGCTTTAGTGAAACATGTACAGTACATGTTCTGGTAAAGGGGACAATAATGATCACAACTTGTATATCCTATTAAAAGCCCCCTTTAAAATCTGCTGTGTAATGTCTTCTCTCTGCCGTGCAATAGTAAGAGCAAGATCTTAGTACTGGGGCAGTAGCTTCTTCTCTCCTAAAAAGCACCCAGGCTTATGGTATGTTTACACCTTACATGCTGCCTTTGAGCTGCCTTACATACATATTCTGCTATATGCTCTATTTACCTTCTGTCTTATTCTTAGATATTTAGATGTTGTTCACTGCTTTTCCGGACCATAAGTGTGCTGCATAAATTCTATTTCCATCTTTAATCTTGAAAATAAGACTTTAATGAAATTCAGAAAAAATGAGTCCTTTTTTACAGTTTATTATATGTTTCTCTCTTTCTTGTTACTAAATTTGTGTTTCAATAGATATGATGATGAAAGTTGTAATCATGATTGAAGATATGCAGAGGCTTTTTTCCTTCTTTATTCAGACACCCATATTGGTAATTCCTAGACATTAAAGATTTTTATTAAAAAAAAAGACTAAATATACAGATAAGTCAAAGACAAAATTAGAAATAAATTTACCAAAATAATGTATTAAAGTAGTCTGTTAAGGAAAATTTTTTTCCTCCCTCCCTTTTTCTGTTGATATTCTAGGACTTGGCTCAATATGTAAATGAAGTGAAGAGAGATAATGAAACACTCCGTGAAATTAGACAGTTTCAACTATCAATAGAGAATTTGGTATGTGATACCTCTCATCTATACGGTTTTAAAATCACTTTTGATCAAATATACTGACAGATGTATTTTTTCCCCATTTCATATGAGATTATAGTACACTTGGTAATACTTAAGTATAAGAATGCTTTGCTTGGTCTGGAATGACATAAATATTTAAGTACAACAAATTCTGCTATTTTGGGAGTCCACAGTTAAATACGTTGGCATAGTTAAAGGCTTGTGTTTGCACAGTGACGAAGGTGTTCTTGCAATAGGAAAAATTTTTCCGTTTGAAGACAAAAATGGAATGGACCCATTCTTTATTTAATTTACATGCTAGTGACAAAAAGATGTTGTTTTCAGGCCTGGAAAGTCCTTTTTTACGGTAAAGAGAGTGAGTGGTCTAACATCTGAATGTGTCGTTGTCTTGACGTTTTCGCTACATTGAATCATACATGTTACTTCTGTTTCAGAATCATTCCCTCTTACAGTATGGAAGACCTCAAGGTGATGGAGAAATAAGGATAACTACGTTAGACAAACGTGCAAGGCAAGACAGGTGATGGCATGACTTCTGGTGTTAAAACAGTTACTGAAAAGTAACTCTTTTTAGATTTGAGGTCAAGTCAGTGATTCTTGAGAGTACTTTCCATTTCACTGTACATTCACAGAGCCTATCTGCTGTTCACCAAGTGAATTTGCAAAGTGATGCATGGGAAGTTAGCTATTATGTTATCATCTAAGATCACCGAAGTCCCTTGCAAGTAGGAAGCCTCTACCAAAAGTACTTTCAGTGTTTTTTGTTTTGTTATTCAGTAATTTAGTTGTTCACCTTCAAAATTTTAAATGCCATAAGCAAAGGTGTGTAAGATAAGACTTTGGGTGTTGGCTTTCTGGAGTGTTTTTAACCATTTTTATATTGTATTTTCATAGGCATATCTTCCTGTTTGATCTAGCTGTGATAGTTTGCAAACGGAGAGGTGATAATTATGAAATGAAGGAAATAATAGATCTTCAGAAATACAAAATTACAAATAACCCCACTACTGATAAAGAAAATAAGAAGGTAAATATATGTTGCTAATTAATATACTAAGTATATTTTAGCAGCAATTTTAAATATTTTGCAGGAGTTCAGAACATATATACAATTTATTTACAAAGTTTTAAGTTTTAAATGTAAGTTGAAGTGAATATTTAGGGATTTCAACTTTGTTTATTTTGATGTAATTGAAACATTTGAGTAAGTCGTTCCTAAATGAACACAGTAGTGTGGTCTTGCTGTTCCCAAAATCAGTGGATTAACAAACATAGCAATGCTTCTTTAGTTTTTCTTTTTTTTTTCTTTTCCTTTCTTTATAACTGATGACCTTCATATTGCCAATCTTTCTATGCAGTGGTCTTATGGCTTCTACCTCATTCATATCCAAGGTCAAAATGGTTTAGAAGTTTATTGCAAAACTAAAGACTTGAAGAAAAAATGGCTTGAACAATTTCAGATGGCTCTGTAAGTATGTTTTTATTGAGGTAGAATCATGCTCATCACCAATGTAAGGATGTGACTTAAATTATGCTGAAATGCTTTTGTATTTAGATTTTTTTTTTAATACAGCCTAGTTATCTATATTATTTGACTTTCTGAGAAACAACTGACTGACATCTTCATGATGTCATATTTACCTGAAACTCCTCTTGTAAAAGAAAGAGGGCACTCTAGGCTTTCCAACTTTGCTGTTCACACTGATTTTAGTAATAGTGTCTTAAGCAACCAGGGGGAAATATTAATTGTTGAGCAATAAATATCTAACATAATAGTGACTTTTTCCCCCCTCTCATGTTTATTTTGATTACTTGAAATATATTTTTTGAAAGGTAATGCTGATATTTGAGAGGAGATCCTGGCGTCTTTCCTAGTGGCTTTTAACTAATTGATTGTTTAGTATTAGAATGAAGTTGCTTGACTTAGTAAATTTAGTTTCAAAAGGCTGAATTCCTTTGTTTTCAACTAAAAGAGGAGGTTGCTTTAGACTTCTTGATGAGTTAATTGTTCAGATGCAGCATTGCAGATTACGTTATTGTTACGCAGCCTGAGCTTTATTTCCATTTCTGATTCTTGTCAGAAAGACAAACATTATTATTGCCACCTCAGGTATTCTAATTAAATTTAAAACATGCGAACAAGGGAATCGGATGGCAAGGCGACGTGTGCTTTGTGGTTAAAAAAAAAAAGCGTGATGAGGAGTGAGATACTCCCAGTGAAAATGGAGAGACAGCATTAATAAAGGTTGTTTTGGATGTGATTGTAAAGGTTTGTGGATTCAGAAGAAAGGCTATTTTGAGCTGATGTGAGTGAAACTCACTCAAATTATATATATTTTTTTAAACCTTAGTATTATGAGTGCTAATGGTTTAAATGAAAAGATAAGAGAGGAGAGCTTGGGCTGGACAGATATCGAGACCTGCTTACTAGGGTTCCTATCTTGCCATTTTTGTCTTCCGTAAAAATCAACATGTGTTTTGGCACAAATTTCTGAGTAGCATAGTGGGGGGTGGGAAGAGGTGTTTATCTCAATGTGTGCAGAAAGCTGAGTATTTTGCCTGTTTCTGTCCCTATGCTCTGCCTGCTGCTCTTCCTGTAATGTCATTATTAATGTTTACTTAAACATAGATAGAACATGTATGAAGAGCATGAAGAGCATGAGGAACATGGATTTATCAGCTTTAGCATTACAACTATTGATCACTCTTCAGGCATCCTGGTCCAGTGCACAAAAAAAAACCAGCCAACCAAAAAAAATTAACCAAGGAGCTAAGGAGAGCAGCAGTAAGAGCACTATGTTTTTTTCTCAGGATCATATCCTCAGTTCTTCCCAAACATTTTTGCGGTTCTGTGCAGGACCCCTGCCTCCCACTGCTGTGTGTGTGGTGGGTGAGTGCAGCTGCATGTCCTTATCCAGTGTTAGGCACCAGCCAGTGCTTATGGGCTGTTTGTGAGCGTGCCTTTGCGACCTGTGGTTTACTGCTGCTGGTTGCCCTATGCGAGCAGAACAGATGGGTCCTGAAACGCTGACAAGTTAATGTGCTGCTCTTTCCTCTTGCGCAGATGGAGTTGGTTGTTGAAAATGAGTGTTGCTGCTGTCAACCTTGTCTTGGATGGATGTTTGTCCTTCTCATAAACCCATACCTCTTGTTTAACCTCTTCCTGTGTGGTTAAGGGCTATAATGCAGTGACAGGAGAACTGGAGCAGCAGAGTTGCTTCAGGTCAGGGCTGAGATGCAACATGATATAGTGCCATTATTTGCACTGTGCAATGCTTTTACTCCCTTATATTTATAATCACTAGGATTGAAAACAATGGGGAGCTTTTATGCTTTCTGAAGTTTTTATACCTTCCCCTCAACTTGGTTACATGGGTTTGACTTCATAGCATATTTCCCTCAGCAGCTCTCCCAAAACATATCATACCTTGGTGTATGTAGTGATAATTATATTCTAATGCATGCTGAGGCACAAGAGTTCGCATTTTGTAATAAACTAAGCCAAGTGTTTTGAACAGGTGATTGGTTGGTTTGATTTGTTGTTTTCAGTGGTCTCATTGCTGACTGTGTAGGTTATCTGTTCTAGTATGTTTCTACTCTGAAAAGTAGTCATGATGGAAATTACGCTATTATTCGTCATACTCAATTATAATTACTGCTTCTATGGACAAAATACTTCTCATTACCTAAAAATTTTACCGAGAGTGCAAAAGCAGCACAGTTTAAGGGGTGACTTACATTCTTTCTTGATTCTGAGAAATTATGTTGTTTACTGAGTTCCAGACAGAAATTTCAATTCAGTTTTGTTGCCTTCGGGACAACTTTCTGTATGAAGTCAGGTCTGTGCCAGTGTTAATCTAAGAATATAACAAGAGAACAAATTAGGATCTCTTCTTCTATTTTCAAATTAAGAATTAACCTTGTTGCCACTAGAACAGTTTTATTGGCATAACTATGTTAGCTAGGCTGTAATTTTTTATTTTTATTTTTTTAGAAGCGTAGGTGTTTATACCAGTGTATGAACAACACTGATTATAGTTTTATTGCAGAAAAGGCACCTACTGTTGAGATGCTAGTATCATTGAGATGAGAATTTGTCTCCAGATATGGGAAACTTATGTTATTGAGGAAGTATGAAATAGAGGAGAACACTGCTTTGCTGGGTGGACTTGGTTGGTTTAGGTTTGGAGGGCAGGAATACGTCAGGCACACTTGATATAGAAAAATATTTAAAGGAAGGATGAAATCCCAGCGCAATTCCCAGAGTGTTACTTTTTAGACTAGTAAGTTTCTGTTAGAACAAGTTTCACAAACCTGTGAAAATGTTCTGTCTCTTGGCCAGCTCTCTTGTTAGTGTGGTATATGGCGAGTTGCTTTGTCATGGGGGAGCTTGGGAGCAATGGGTTACTGGTCATAAGAAACTGAGTAAATTGTTTTTATTCTTATGGCAGTTCTGGTGCTACAGTATCTATTTGCTGTTTTCCTGAGACTGTTGCTTTTTGTAGAAAATACGTAATACCAAAACACCTCAATTTTTATTTTTCCTAAGAATTTCTTGAGGGTTATTGATGAAGCCTGTTCATACACTACATCCTCAGCTGCAATGATACTGTGGCACGGCTGAATTTGATGCTATTGACCTATTTGCAGTAATCTCGACAGTTGAGGCTGTCACCTTCTTTTTTCTTCCCCCCCCCCCCCCCCCGCCTTTTTCTTTTTTAAAGTTTATTGTGTATAACCTTCAAAATTGCTGGTTGTTTGACAGTGCTGGATTTTCTAGGTGACAATAAAATGAAGTAGGACACTGGAACAGCGCAGTTAACATTGCAGTCAAACTCTTGAAGCTGAAACTTTGGTTGGACTCATGAATCTCATGAATTAGAGAGGTTTTTGTAAAGCTAGCGAACAGAGACCAGTGGAGGATGTTTTAACAGGAGTCGTATCACAAGTGACTGAGTTCTCTCTTGGTGAGCCTGTTCCTTCACTGATGTGAGTGGAACTTAGACATGCACAGGAGGAGTGTAACCACTTATTGCCCTAGAAGAGATGTGCCGCTTAACAGCGATAGTCGTTAATTTGAACAGTTGCCGTTTTGTTCTTGGAACTTTGTTCATAGTAATGGATGAGCTTATAGCTCTTTGGTTAAATAAGTACCTTTTAAAAGGTAGTACCACAAAGATTTTGTTGTACTACATGTGGAATGTTTAAATTTAATCTAGCTTGTCAAATAGCATTGGTTTACATGCAAAGTCATTCCATATCCAAGATAATATTAATAGAAGTGTACAGCCAAATTACTGCACCAAATTACTCAGCCAAATTAGAGACATCATGTATTAAATGAAAGTTTGTCAGCAATGTGATAAAGTGCATGGTTTATTTGCTGTATCTAAGTCATTAAAAACCTCAAAAACTGATTGTGAGAGAGACAATTTTCTGTCTAATCTCTTTTCTCCTGTATTAAAAACAACCAGAAGAATCAGAACAAATATATGTTTCATAATACACCTACAAATTACATAAAGCATTTCATACTTTAATGTTAATCAGTTTATGCTAAAAGGTAAGAGCATTGGTTGATATATTTTTTCTCCTAGAAAGCTCTCCTACAGATGATTTCCTTATTTTAAAAGTGCTTATTTTAACAAATAGTTGAATAATATATGTTTCAATTAATTTATGCTAACCCTTCTTTATTAAAAGAAAAAACCCCCTTCGAAGTTGAAGTTGTCCTCATCTATTGTCTCAGTTATATTCCTTTGGAACTACTTATCTGACTAATTATCAGGCTTGATTTCTTATTATATGGCAACTACTTTTCTTGTCATTCCTGTGATGAGTTTAATTCTCTTTTATTTCATCATGAGATAATAGAATAAATACTGAAAGAAAATATGTTGATTAATACTACAGCTGTCTCATGTTGACACTAAACTTTCTTCAGTCCACTAAATATTTCATAGAATCATAGAATGGTTTGGGTTGGAAGGGACCCTAAAGATCATCTAGTTCCACCCCCCCTGCCATGGGCAAGGAAACCTTCCACTAGATCAGGTTGCTCAAAGCCTCATCCAACCTGACCTTGAACGCCTCCAGGGATGAAGACATCCACAACTTCTCTGGGCAACCTGTTCCAGTGTTTTACCACCCTCACTATGAAAAATTTCTTCCTTATATCTAATCTAAATCTACCCTCTTCCATTGGTTTAAAGCCATTGCCCCTTGGCCTATCACTACCCACCTTTCTACAAACTCCCTCTCCACCTTTCTTGTAGGCCCCCTTTAGGTACTGGAACGCTGCTATAAGATCACCCCAGAGCCTTCTCTTCTCCAGGCTGAACAACCCCAACTCAGCCTGCTGTCAGAGGAGAGGTGCTCCAGCCCTCCGATCATCTTTATGGCCCTCCTTGGGATTCGCTCCAGCAGCTCCATGTCCTTATGTTGAGGACTCCAGAGCTGAATGCAGTA